TGCTGCTGCTGCTGCTGCTGCTGCTGCTGCCGCTGCTGCTCGAGACTGTGAAACACTGATGAGACTCCGCTCGTGCAGCGACGTGATCGTCGGCAGATTGGCGGGCACGGTGTCCCACAAAAAGAATTTCATCTGCAGTGAGCTGCTCTGGTCTGCCGCACACATGCAAAAGTTGTGGAGATCTTCATCGGTCGACTCACACTTGCTTCGTTCGACTTTCGCGATTTGAAGCGATGCTTATTGCAAACTTCACTCGGACTGACAGATCGGTACAGTAGCAGTCGTGTAACCCCCCGTTCGAGGCGCATACACTCGCAGCTAAAGGATGCTATTCTCATGCACTTGCACTCACTTTGCGGAAAGAGAACTCTCACGCAGCGCAGCGCAAAGGTGCGCATCTCCGTCGCAGTCATACAACAGTGGTGAGTCGTGAGTGTGACAAGCGACCGTGAGGTCTCAGACTTTCTCAAAGTGGCAGACCTCGGTCCTAAAGGTCATCAATGATTCTGGCAGGTGGGCAGGTCTGTCTGCCGGGCCAGATCTACGTTGCGTACACAAGCACAACAAAGCTGCATAATCACCTGCTCACAAGAACACTGCCTGTCTGTCAAGCCCGACGGGATTTGGGGGGACGTTGTCACAAGCACAGTAACGTACCGGTACAGTGTGCTGCAGTGCCGTGCCTCTGGGCGATGCACTCAACCGTCGTACCACTCGTGATTGATCCAGAGAAGCCCTTTGGTCTACGCCAACCGCGCCTCCTTAGTGTCCCTGTCGTCATCATCGTTTCGAAACTCTGAGACTAGTCCCACCTAATCACAAACCAGAACTCTGTCGTCCGGTGTGCTCAAGCGTAAGGTAGTCTTATCTCGCACCGTGACCTCATCACACTCTTTTCTCTTGTAAACACACGCACTGCTGCTCTTCCCTCGGAGACACCATCACACGCACACACGTCGACCAATCCAGGTCCATCACTCTTTGTCTTTCGCCACGCCAATCCCGACAACTCGGACCCTTTGCGCTGTGGTTGTCAAGACGACGAGCAGGTTCTCATCGCGTATATAACGGGACTCGCAAAAAGCTGGGTCAAGTGTCTCCGTCAAGAAGTAGTGATACCTTGACATCCAGCCCAAGTCCTCTGCCATCCGATTGTCGTCTCGTCCCTCTTCTTCGACTGGTACCCGCTCACACCAACAACAAAACAACATGATCGAACTTCTGGACAGGGTCTTGACGTACGGGCCATACGGGTACATTCCCAAGCTTGCGCCTGCCATCCTCTTTGTCATTCGTGAGTAGCTCGAAAAGGGCATACATGTCCCCTCAAGCATCTCGACTCACCCAATGCAACTTGTACCATGCTCCTTTTCCTGCAGTCTATGCCATCGCTTTCTTTGGACACTCCTACCTGGGCGGCTTCAAAAAGCAACCATCAAAATGGCTACCCACCTTGGCTCTGGGATGCGCAGCAGAGACGGGCGCCATGAGTCTGTGAGTTCATCTCGGAAGTCTGCAAGGATGTCTCTCTCCTTCTCGCAAGTCGACAGTCTTCTGCAGGTGGAAGCGTGAGGCTGTCCGTCGGCAAGGGGGAAAAAAGTCACCGTGGAGTGCGTGGAGATGGCGGCTGAGCTGAGATCTACGCGCGCATCATACGTGACTGTGCGCGAAGCTTGGCTTGGCAGAGACACGTTCTCGATGCGTGCGTACAGACGTGAACTCAGGCCGGCCGCTCTGCAAGACTCATACAAAACTGCGATGCATCTTCCCGAGGGGTGAGGCAACCCGCTCAGTGGCGCTTTGCTATGGAATCTTCAGCAGAGAAGTTGAGCTTTCACATCGTCCCTAACTCCAATTCTTCGCTGCTGCCGCTGAATCGTGACGAGCGGAGAAGAAGAGCAGAGGATACTAAAGAGAGAGAGAGAGACCTCATTGCTTTTGCCACTTTCGATGCCCCATCGTGGCTGACTGGACTCGACCCGCTCCTTGGTCCAAACAGTCGCGTCTACGGTCACTACACGGCTCGGGATGACATCAACGCGTACATCGCTCAACAAGTGCTGAGCGTCTTGACGCCCGCCTTTTTCGCCGCTGCCCACTTTGCCATCCTTGGTTTGGCCATCGTGACATTCGGGCCAGCCTACGCTCCCAAATTTGTCCAACCTCGATTCATCATTCCCTTTTTCGTCACGGTGGATGTTTTGAGTTTGATCCTGCAGGGCACTGGAGCGGGCATGGCAGCTGTCGCTGAGCAGCTCAAGCCTCCCAAATCCACCATTCCCGGAGCTTGGATCGTGGTTTCCGGTCTGGTAGTGCAGCTGTTGGGCTACGTCTTTTTCAACATTCTCTTCGTCGACTTTGCAAGACGAGCCATGGCGCGTCCACCTCAACACGAGCTGTGGACGGCAAAGATGAAGACGTTTTTGGCTGCCGTTTGGATCTCTGCTCTGCTCGTCTTGCTTCGTAGCTGCTTCAGAACGGGCGAGATGATTCTAGGATGGATCGGTCCCGTAGCTACGACGGAGTGGTACTTTTACGTCTTTGACGCCGCTCCCGTCACGGCAGCCGTCTACATTCTGCTTCCCTTTCATCCCGCTCTCTTCCTGCCCGCACACATCTCTCTGGGCAAGCCTACATTGGGTGCGAAGCAAGAGTACGCGGTAGAGGGCTCTGGTGCCGAGGAGAAGGACATCGAGCGAAATGGCTCAAATACCAACGAGACTGCTACGCTGAACGGCGAAAACAGTCAGGACAAGGGTCAATACGATACGCTCGTCGAACGTCAGCAGGAGAAGAAGCGGCCTAGCAGCAACAACTCTAGACCGAACACCAACAGGTCG